TTGGTGGAAAGAGCCTGTCCTTCGCTCTGGTGGGAAGGGAACAAGAAAGGGCAGCTCTGCTAAAAAGTGCAGAGCAGGTGGTTTTTCCATTGAGGCGACTCAACGAAAGATGACACCAAATCGGAAAGTTTCACGGTGATATCGACAAAGGGGGGCGACAAATTGGGCCTTCGTCACGCCTTTAGGGCCTTTAGGGCCTTTAGGGCCTTCTTTTCCCTCGCAGGTCTCAGCGCCTCGCCTAGCGGTTCAAGGGAGCGAGTGCACTAGGGGGAGCGGCACCAGTTCGCGAACAGGGAGCCGGTCAGCGAACGAGGGTCACGAAATGCAATTTGGTCTTTTGTTTCTCGAGTTACACGCTCCAGCTTTTGGTATCTGCAGTAAAAGGATCGATTGCTTGGGATTCCGAAAGCGATCCGTTTTAAAAGAAGACATTAGGCATGGGCTGGGCCTGGGTCAGTTACCGGGTGCGTTCAACCGTCATTATTTTCCATCGAGAAAATTATTCTTCCGGCAATCGTCATCCAGTGAACTAAATCCAGGTAAATGATTCCTCCGTGGTGCCACCAAAGAAAAGGCCAAAAAAAAGCAAACGGAAAGTGCTCACGCGTCCAAGATCGTCGAAGCGAGCGAATCGCCCGAGAAAAGTCACTCTATTTGAAGGGTCCATTCTCGGTTTTGGGATGACACTGACAAAAGGTTAAATCTGAGAATTTCACAAAGAATACGAAGAAACTAATTAAATGCTCGCTGTTCCTAATGACCCGAATCTTCAAACTTCGAGATGGTGCACACGGATGGGGGAAGTCGTTTATAAGCTCTTAGGTACTAATTCGTTTTTTTTTTCACTTTTGGATTCGTCATGGTCTCAATATTGTTTCCAAATGGAGTTATCCACGACACCTCGACGGATAATAGGTTCGAGAAGTCGGCGTGAGATGACGCCTAGTCGCCAATTTTGCGATTCTAGCATCCATGCCTGAAAAGTATAGTTCCTTGAGATTTTTCGCGCAGTCTGTTCCCATGAAACAACTCGAGAGAAGACTTTGGAATATCTGTCGAGTCCCTTCGAAGGATGGAACCCGGCAGATAGGGACTCCAGGATTTTCTGGCCTGAGAGTCCGAAGACACGCGACGATTTTGCCTGCCTCACCCCACGGCGCTCCAAATCCCTCCGACTCTGATATCTTTCGGGTCTCTTACGAGTATGGCAGCACGTTAACCAGGCTGCGAGGGCGTCTTTCACTTTCCTTCTGCGTGGGAGATGAAACAGGTGATGCACGTAATTCCCTTGCTGGACGGAATCGATTGCGTTGCTCGAGTACTTGATTCGAGTTTATGTCCAGTTAGGAAAGTACCAGGACGATAATCGGCCCGGGGCATCATCCAGTTGTTTCTCTGTCGATAATTTTGTTGCACGGTAATGGAATAATTTTCCTTAGAAGAAAAACACCTTACATTCATACATATTTCATTTACGTGCTCGCGCCCCTCGCGAGCACGTAACAGGTTTTTCTGTTACGTGCTCGCGAGGGGCGCGTGGGACGGGACTAAAACGGAATCCGACAGCCATGCAAAATCCACTAAAAATGCGTAATTTCCGGTCGACAACGTCTGATCGAGGTTGGGCGTGGGTTGATTTTTCAACGTGGCTGTGTTGCCACAACGGTGGGTAAAAGGGGGATTCTATGTTACCGCAATTTTGCAATGAAACAACGTTGATTCGATCCTGCGTCCCGTTGTGCAAGCGTTGAATTTTCAAAGTTCCGGCATTACCTACCCTTTTTTTTTAGCCTTCACGCGCACTGATATTGAATAGAGCTCGAGAGTACGGATGATTTTTGTTATTCCCCGGAAGGGTCCTTCTGAGGTCGAAAGCCCAGGTACCGGGCTTTCGACTAGTACTTTCTCATGGCTGGTCCTTTCCTTCGAAAGCCCCTCGGGAGTGGCTACCCAAGGGGGGGGGGAGAAAGCAACAGCTCTCGATTTCCTCCCCGACCAGCACGGATGGAGAGAGAAAAGAGAAAAAGCGGGCATCCCTGGGATCACGCCACCGGCCTGCTCCCGCGCTTTCTTCCCGCCAAAAAGCATCCGCCTGGGGCACGAACGGGTCTTTCGCCTCCGTCATGTACCGTCTCGTTGGTATGCAGAACCTGCACTCACCCCGTCTCTCCATCGTCTCCCCCGGCTTGTAAGCCCGACTCTTCGTCGACTCGGTCCGCCCCCGCATCGGAAGACTGCCTGTCGTAGAAACTAGGACTGAGTGGTTGCATCATATTCCTCGGTAATTTCTTTCCGAAGCCAGCTCTGGGCATTCCCGATTTTTACTACCGAGAAGACGGATCGCTGCCACTATCTCGGTTTTTATCGATCAGAAAAGAAAAAACAAGAATGAGATTTCCCAAGGAATCGAAGGGGATCCCTCCCCCCATTCCAGTATGAGATGGGAAACGTAAACATAAAGAAAAGAAGGGAGAAGGTAAAGAAATTAAGCGCCAGTGGAAAACCACATGGATGTGGTATGTACGTCACGTGAAGGTCAGTGACGTCGCAGTGACGTCACAGTCACCAACACGGGCCCTCATCTGTCCTTAGTTACGCCTCCGCTCCTTTTAATTTTTAAATATATTTTCCGGTGTGTGTGGGCCCCCTTCCTTCTTTTCTTCGGCTTTTTTTTCCCAATAGAGGGTACCGGATGTGTATGATGCAAATTCGTCGACTCGTTTCGTCCGGTGCTGCTGATTCTAGGAGTCATGAAAAACCAATCGGAAGCAGAAACCTGTCGCAGGGGCAACCGGCAACAACCGGAGACAGGCAATATGATATCTTGGCATCGTTCATCGTCGGCCTTGGCAAACAGCGAGACGACGAGAGAACACCGGCCGGTTCCCCGCCTCGGACGAGAGTAGACGAGAGCATCGGAGCCAAATGCGATCCGGGGTCATCTGGCTTCGTTCGACGAGCCTCGGATGATCGTCCCCATGCACCTACAGCCGGAGAATTCGATTACGTATAAACACGAGCCGACACGAGACACGACAAGAACGCGAATGGAAAATTTTCTCAGCCAGGGTGAATACGAGTCTGTCGCATCCCTCGATCGCATTCCTCGTCCCGGCCCTCCGCGGAGAATGACCTTGAAAGAAGCGAGGCCCTAGCAACCAGCTCCGGCCTGAGTGACCCTCGCGACAGGATGAGTATGAAAACTGGGGCAAATGTGGAGCGTTGATGGGGCATGGATTGGGCACGGGTGGAGCATGGATGGGGTGAGGAATGTTCTCGCGTCTACGCAATCTTCGCAAATAACCACGCAATCGTCAGAGGCGGCGCCATGTCAACTGATGAGTAAAAAAAAAAAATTAGACCCAGAGTCGTGCATGTCCAGTTTCCACTGGACAAAATATTCCACTCCGTAAATCTTCGAACGGATGGAAAAATGCCGACGCGAAAATCCACTAAGAAGGATAAATGATAAATTGGTCCTTGAAGAATTCCGATAAGTTCGACTCGTTCGCATTTTGCGAGACGAAAAATGATCAAAAGAGCACCACGTCATCGAAGAAAGGGTGGAGGGAAAAATCATTTCTAGTTCCGAATAGGAAAATTCATTGCGAGGGTGTGAACCACGGCAGTGGAACCCGATTTTTCAAAACCCGGTGGATTTCATTCTTGTTCAGAATATGTCGAAGATGCCAGGGAAGATAAATGGAAAAAAATGCAAATAAATACGGCGGGATGAAACCTGGCGGACGTATCAGTTTTGATCTCGAAAAGGGGCAGATCCCCTGCTTGCGTGCCGTGCCGTCTCCGCGTATCCGATGCCGAGAATGCGGGATTTTCCACGCTCATCCGCGTCCTTTCGCGACGTTCAACCGAACCAGAACCGGGACCTGCCGCCGCCAAAACGCACAGAGAGTCCTTCGCTCGTTCCAAAAGCGACTCGAGCCGTGCGAGCCGACGTTGCACGGCAGGGAAGCCGATGGATGGGAGGTTGCCGTCTGGAAGATCCACGAATGACTATCGTGCTCTCACCTGGCCATTCCATGCGAGAGTAATTAAAGCCTCTTTCGCTCTGCCGATGTTCTGGTATCAAATGTCAGAAGCATGGAGGTCCTCCTAACACTTTTTCCTGCTTCCTACCGAGTGGGACGTCCACGTGCACACATTTTCAAAGTCCAATTGATTCGCCTTGCAGTCCGTCCGACTCGCACGAGCGGACCGACCGGTCTTCCGCCGGTCATTTCGGATCGGAGGACTCCTTTCGGGAGTCTTTCGATCGATACCTGCACTTCGTGATCATCGGTGAGGGCGTCGAGGAGAGACTATCAAGATTTTTATATTAAAAGGAAAATAGAGAGAGAAAAAAGAAGAACCTTTCCACGGGAAGTGACCATCTCGCAAGCCGAATGAACCCGCACAAGGCAAGTGAAGGGAAAAGAATACAGACACAGATCTGATGCAGATAGTTTGATGCATTCGAATCAGCGGCACCAACACCTTCTGCGACCTCTCTACAGAAGAACCGCCTCTGCGTCTTCGTCCGTTCGTTGTAAATGAGATCGAGAAGTAAACTTACGTTCGAGATTCCGAATGAGATTGCAGTAAAATATATTCCATACTAGCTAAGGTACCTGGCGTTGCACGACTGAAAATTGTATTTGTATTAATATTTATTGTATTTTATTGTATTCATTTTTATTTTTATTTATTTATTGTATTTATAAATTGTATTTAACATTGTTTTAATGCCTCTTTGGCAAACACGGTTAGAAATTGCTTTTAAAATATTCCTTTTAACTACACAACTAATTGCATAACTCTAGTAGCAAGCTGCATGTTCTTTAGTGTGTCCCCAAAATGTTGACTCCGTAGGGAGTCTGCAGTAGATCGGCCAAAACTGCACTAAATAAGGTAACCCGGGGGGGGCGGGGTCGGAATTTTGAAACGCCACCTAGCCCATGAGGATCCCCGGACGGAATGAGGAAACCACGCAAAGTTTGGTTGGACTGGTATCATTGGCATGGCCGTGCATCAAGTACAGACACACAAACATTCTGAAACATAAAGGTACACCGGTAGATGTTGCAATGATGTCTGTCGTGAGATCATGTCTCGTCCATATCCTCGACGAATTCCTCCGTCGTCGAGTCTGCAAGGGAGAGTCTACAGGAAGAAAAAAAAATTATTTCAAGGTTTATTTACATTTCAAGCTCGCAAATGGAAATGCAAAAAGGAAAATCTGACCTGCTCCCGCTTTCCGTTTCCCAATATTCTTCGGTGTTCGATTCCTGGGATGAGTCCGGAGGATATTGGGTGGCAGAAGTTGCAGTCCCAGAAGAGACCTCATCGTTATCTAACTCGACATTGACGAAGGAAACCAAGTTGATATTCTCGGGCAGATCACAGATCTCTGAAAGAGGAAAGGGGAAGAAATCGTCATTAACCCAATGGTCGTGCGAAATTTTCGCACGTTGAAACGTGCACGCATGTAAACGATTGCCCTCACTCAGATGCCTCAAATCGGATAGGATCCACTCTTCCGGCTTCCAAAGACCCCGAAAGAGATCCTTCACGGTCGTGATGGAGGACGGCAACGAGACGTTGGACTTGCTCCCGATCACAGCATACGCGTGTTCCCTCGGAAAGAGGCTTCCTGGAATTTAAAGAACGCAGTCAGCCATCGGTCATACCGTCCCGTAGCATTCGAATGTGACACACCTGTGGAATTTCAAAAAGCCACGCTTTGGATCAATAATGGGATGTGGTCACGTTACATTTCCCTCCTTCTTCCCCCATTTTCCCTAAGCGCAAATTCCGCTAAAGAAAAAAAAAATCGTTACTCCTAAGAGCAAAGAGACTCAGAAGAAGGTCCTGCCTTGTCATTCGCCTTCACTCCCTCCGACCTCCATGAGAACAACATTCGGAGAGGCAATAAAGGAACCCCCATTAACCCTTTCCATAGGACGCCCGTAACAGTACCGCTTGCAACTTTGCACTAAAATCCTGCAGCCTTACACGTACCGTCAATTTCATAGGAATCGCTAACCTTGCTGCGTTGGTACGAGCTGCAACCTATCAGATACTACCAGATTTTTTTTTCAAGATATGTTAGTGGGAGACCACCCCCCCCCCCCCCCCCCCCCCCCCCCCCCCCCCCCCCCCAGCCCCAGGCCAATTCATATGCCTGAAATTCCACAAGGCATTCTGCGTAGAGCCCTACTTTAGGGAATTCACGCCCTGAAGCACTACTGGGTATAAACTAATTTTTTTCTGCACGAGTATCACTTGTTTGTACCATAATGAAGATGAAATTTCTGAGAGCACGGAAAACCGTAAACAAGAAAAAACGCTCAACCCGTATGCAAGAAAAGCCTTTTAAAAAACCACTACCGAAAGGGTTAAGGAAGGGGTTTAAGCCCTTAAACTTGACCAAAGATGTGCCTGCCTTGACAAAGTGAGTTCGGCAATATCCAATTCCCTTCCTCGTAAATTTGTGCTACTGACGTCACTCTCAGCTATCGGCAGAACGGTGTGCGCGTGAAGATCACGTGCATCGTTCCAAACATCTGACCAATTCGAAGACCGAAGGGATAGCAGAAGAGAGACGTGGAAAGCGAACCGTTTCGAGTCGAGAAGACTGGGGGAATGGTGGCTTGGGGATGGAGATCACCTTCATCGGCAACGACTCGGATTATTGCCTCGTCACTTCTCATGCCCTCTTTCTCGAAGACTCCTACGATTGATGCAGCTGTTTTGATGTTTCCAGTGAGGAAAGCCGTCGGAATTTGTGTTTCCTTACACTTATCTCGGTGGGCATGCAAGGCAAGCAGACGCTCTTTCGCCTCATCTGCGGTCTGTGGAGAAACGAGAACGGGACATCATGGAGGGAAACTAAGGCAGAAACGTTTGACGGCATCGAAGGTCGTCCGAATCCTGCACAACCCTTAACCTTCACGGAGAACACGGCACCACAAAATGGTCGAGTGAATTCAATAGGATTAACCAGGATCTTCCTCATCTTGATGTCATCCGAAGTACGAGTCAGCTGCCATAAGGTCTCGAGCCCTTTGGGTGGAGAAAGAAGGAAATCGCAGTCTGTTCCCCTCGTACCTTTTTACATCGTGTCCACGCCGCAGACGAATTCGAGGACGCTCAAGGAGACCATCTGAGTATAAAGAGAACTCACTGGCGAGACTCGTCTTTCTCCATGTAAACACTTCCTGGCACTTGGGACATGTCGGGGTCCGCAGCTCTTCCATGCATGCGTCGCATATTATATGCATGCAGGGCCCAAGTAAGATGCTTGCTTGTCTCAGTTCGCATGAGCTGCAGGACTGCACTGACCCTGAGAGAGAGAGAGACATTTCGACCGTGACTTTTCCAAGATATCTGAGGTTTAGAGTGCACCCCCCTTCAAAAATGTTGCCTTCTTTGAAGCTCCAGTAGGCTCTGTGCTGGAAATGAATTTCATTTTTCTTGGGGGATATGTGGGAGAATAGGTCATTCTTTATAAAGCCTTGNTATGGGGGAGAATAGGTCATTCTTTATAAAGCCTTCCCCCCCCCCCCCGGAATAAATTATGTAAAGTCATCGTAAGTCTTACGTTCCGTACATTGTTCCATCTGGAATGTGTCGTTCTGTGAAAGCTTCCCCCTTCACGAGGTGGCAGTTTTAAAGTAATCCATATTTACACAGAACCTATTCTGCGACTGTAATAGCGACTTTCCCTCCATTTGCTTCGATTGAAACTTCCCCCAGAACATGACGACCGAGAACACAGACATCATGTACTCATGACGTGGCGAGAACGTGAATGAAGAACGACGAGAGACGTACGAGGAACACAAAAAAAGAGTTTGTTTCCCCACATGCCTCCAAAGGCACGTGACTCCGAGCACGCTCTCGACTACGTCACTTCCCCCCCCCCCCCCCCCCCCCCCCCCCCCCCCCCCCCCCCCCCCCCCCCCCCCCCCCNCCCCCCCCCCCCCCCCACCCCCCCCCCCCCCCCCCCCCCCCCCCCCCCCCCCCCCCCCCCCCCCCCCCCCCCCCCCCCCCCCCCCCTCCGTCACCGATGACTATCTCAAGAAGGCATAGCATCATCAGGAGAGATGAATTGGTGGAAAGAGCCTGTCCTTCGCTCTGGTGAGAAGGGAACAAGAAAGGGCAGCTCTGCTACGAAGGGCAGAGCAGGTAGTTTTTCCATAGAGGCGACTCAACGAAAGATGACACTAAATCGGAAAGTTTCACGTCGATATCGATAAAGGGCGGCGACAAAATGGGCCTTTGTCACGCCTTTAGGGCCTTCTTTTCCCGCGCAGGTCTTAGTGCATTGCCTAGCGGTTCAAGGGCGGTGGAGCGAGTGCACTAGGTCTACGAGTCAAGGTCGACCTGTCGTTCCCACACCCCGGTAGAGTCCGACACGGACTGCTGGCTGATCGACTCGATCCAACTCGCCAGATGTTTCGTGCCAAAATTCCCAAATGATTCCTCCTCCGGGTCGGGTTGTGGATCAGCTCTTTGTAAACTGGCTGGCTGGGGCGGCTTGTGTTTGGAATTTGCATCATCAATTATTATGAAAAATCAATAGGATTTCATTTTTTTTCTATGGTCTGACTGTGAGGTTTAGTTGGCATCCAGGTTTCGGGTGGCGTGCAAAGACTTTCGATCGGGACTATCGGGTTGGTTTCCGAAAAATCAGCTGTGAAGGACTCTACTTCTCAGTACGGGCATTTCCATGTCATTGACCCCCTTCCTCCGGGCACGTTACCAAGTTCTCCGCCACATTGCTTCGTTCTTCACTCTCGCTTTCCGCTATCCGCATTACAAGTGCAATCGGCGATTATCGGTATATTGGAGCGTAGGGCTTCGGAACGGAATATTTTTCGTTCTGCGTCCTATTCCGTTCCTGAAAATATTCCCGTTACGTTCCACAGGCACAAAAAAGTATATTTTTAATACCCATGATACACCGATAATTACTTTCAAAAATCACTGGTTGCAGAGGAAAAACTCTTCAGGAACTTGGAACGGAACGGAACGAAATTATTGCGTTTTCGGGAGTAATCTCCGTTCCGAAGGTCCTGTGCTAAAGGCGGGGATGGAAAGGGGCCTTTTTACATTTATTCAAATTATTGGGGCGTTATTCCATAACCTCTCAGTCGGCACTGGAGGAAAACACCATCGGCATTCCCGAACGAGTGACAACCCCCCCCCCCCCCCTCCCCCCCCCCCCCCCAGCCCCCCTTCCCCCCAGCCCATGCTGCATGAGTTGGACAATCCAAATGACAATGATGTTTTAGGAGTCCTCCTTTGATATCGATTCAATTGAAACCCCATTTTGTCGTTTCAAAGGTAGATCGATAAAATTAGGTGTCATTCAGAGGCAACTGACCTGCGTTCATCTGTTGCCGGAATAAGAGAGACGACATGGATGAACAACTGTAACAGATCTTTAAAGAGAGTCGAGCGCCCAAGACGTGTCCAGGACGAGCACTAAACACAAACAGAGGTATATTTATCCCTCTGTTTGTGTTTATATAGGATCCCTTTATATAGGGATAGAAAGGGGGGGGGGGGGGGGGGGGCCAGGCTTAGGTGGGGGGGTCCCGGAGGGGGGCTGGGGGGGGGGGGGGAGGTTGAAGAAAGGGAGAGCGATTGAAAATTGGTTTTCACATTACTTCATACTCTCTATGGTCCAGACGTTGTCCGTATTCGATGGTATGGTTCATCATCGCTCCATTTCTCAGCCCGGAAGGGAGGGTACCGTGTGCTTGTGCTCGCCTCAGTCCAATGGTACTCTTCCGCTTTCGACGACTTCCAGACACGTAATCACCAAAGACGAGATTTTCATCACAATAGACGAAACTCTCGGTCCCTCCACCGACCTTAATTCGCGTCCATACAAGGGATCATCAACGTTGATGACTAGGAAGCAGCGGCCTGCCCCATGCAAATCTCCATCTCCATGGGAACAAGGCTCACGGGTCAAGGTCAGAAAAAAAAGGATATCCCTCTTACGTAGCTGCATCAGCAGGCGATTGGCCCCCTTCCTTCAGGCCAAGTTCCAGGCATTTTCATTCCGCTCTCACTTTCCGCAACCCGCATTAGCAGCACCCCCCCAAGGAAGAAATTAGTTCCACCCGAGGAGCTCGGAACTCAGCTCCTCAACTTAGACATGACCCCATGAAGGCTATTATGTACTTGCTTGGATTAGTCGCTTTATTTACTCACTCGATATCACCAACTACAAATCGGAGAGATTTGAAACCTAATGCGAGAAGGCTGGCGAGAACTAATCGGATGGCACATTGGCATTCCATTTCTCCCTCGATGCCGGTTTAGGCACGGAACTAATGCAACGTAGCCGCACGGAGTCTAAATCAATGAATTTTTGAGTGTACACGCTCTGATTCTGTGGTTACCGTCAATATGAACTTCATATAAACGATCGCAAATGCGGGAGGAAGAGCCATGAAATCTAAGGACTGGGAGGGAGAGCGCGGAGCGAGATCCTGCCACGGTGTGTCCCCGTCTCCTCTTTACTATACTTGGCACGTCCCACGAGGGCATCTCGCACTGGAGCGAACGTGCATGGTGCCCAGTCCAGGGAAGGACCAAGAGGCAACAATCCTTAATGGGAGACCGTTTCCTAGGCATGTCTCACCATTATTTGAACCTTTTTTTTAGTGTGGAAGCAAGTGAGAGGAGTCGCCTGCGGATGACAACAGGGTCGCGGAATGCTCTTGCTCACAAAAAAAAAGTCTTGCACGGGGGCATCGCTCAACGGAGTTCGCTTTCCTGGTAACTACCGACTACCCATAAAGTTTCAGCTGCGAACTCTTACGACCTGTTTCTTTTTATCCCCCCCCCCCCCCCCCCCCCCCCCCCCACCACCTTTTTTTTTTTTTCCCCCCCCCCCCCCCCCCCCCATCCCTTCATCGTCAAGATGCATTTGCGAATGAGGGGAGAAAGTCCCCTAGGACGTATGGAGAGGCAAAGAAAAAAACCTACATCAACACTCTTTGCCTCTTGAAAAATAGAAAGGAAAAGACGGAATGCAAGTACTGAGGCGACCGCAAGACTCGACATCGCTCGGCCGGGTCCCCTCCTATAAGGTCGCCGGCCGACCGTCCTTCCCTTCATCCAGGACGTGCATTGGAGCATTCGTCTCTGAATGCGGCCAGTGCACCACGAGAGGCCAAATTGCCGATTCCCTCTTTCTCCATTCTCCGGATCCCTGGGCCTTGAAGTGTCTGAGTCGGGTGAATCGATCGGGGACCTAGCATTTGGAAGGGTACTTGTATACGGGGGGGGGGCTGTGGGGGTTCCATCTACATCTTCCATCAATTGTTGCACATCTATTGCTTCATTGGTCCTGGAAAGCATTTCGTGTTAGATGGTATGGCTTCCCTCTCCTTCCTTCCTTTTTTATTTTATTATTATTTTTTTTACAGTGCGCTCCATCACCTCAGATTTTTTGCTAAAAGTTCTCAGGGATTGCTGTCAAACTGGCAACCCGGTAAAAAAAAAAAATTGTATCAATGCAATTTTGACCCCCGAATACCAATATGTGGCGATGGAATTGACAAATCTCGTTCGGATGAGCTATTGCTGTATTGCTAGATATGTCTTTCATAGCCAGCTTCCGTCGAGACATCCAATCTGACTTCCAAATGACCGGCTGGAACTGCAACAAAAATTCGGAAATCTTTCAGACGTCGCGGGCGTCATCATTCTTGTCTCGATGGAAGCTGGAGGCACAAAATTTCCAAGTTCATCTGTTGCATCCGCACAGAGTTAACTCCAAGCATCCAACTGCGGGTGAACACTTACTCCCATTTAAAGGTTATGAAGACGAGTACCTCTTCCAAGCAGTCTTGAGTGAAGTAGTTCCTCAATCTTAAAACAAACCTAAACCTTAAAATAATAATAATAATAAAGACATGACTATATGGTTGGTGGAGTCGCCTCACCTCCCCTCCCCTCCCCCCACCCCGACGCACTCAGTGAAGAAAGTCAGCATATAGAAGTATGGAAATAATAAAATCGAAGGGATAATAGGATGACCTTGGCTGTGGGGGAAGAGAAAGAGAGAGTGAGGCAGGAATAGAGGAACAGGAAACAGCACGTAGCGGTGCCACCGGCTGTGGTATAATGGGGTCAATGTGCCAGTGGTCAATGTCAATGACGTCTTGCGGGCCCGATGACGTCACGGTATCCACACGGTTGCCAACATCGCGGTCCGTTTTTCACCCTGCGGCATTCTGTTGCGCCAGTTTTCCGAAGCCCCATGGAGTAGTCGCTTGTGTTGAATTGATCACACGTTGGTGATCCAGAGGTTTCTGCCC